GCAGGGGCTGCAATCTTGAGGGAAACTGGGCCACATACAAATCAATGTGCAGGGGCTGGTGTTGTGTCCGTGGGTTAAGCAGCTGCCCATGAGGTCGGCTTCCCACATGGGCGTGTGTTCAAGTCCTGGCTGCTCCACTTCTCTTCTTCTTCTTTTTTTTTTTTTTTTTTTTTTTTTTTTTTTTTTTTTGACAGGCAGCGTGGACAGTGAGAGAGAGAGACAGAGAGAAAGGTCTTTACTGTTGGTTCACCCCACAATGGCTGCTGCGGCCGGCGCACCACGCTGATCCGAAGCCAGGAGCCAGGTGCTTCTTCTGGTCTCCCATGGGGTGCAGGGCCCAAGCACTTGGGCCATCCTCCACTGCCCTCCCGGGCCACAGCAGAGAGCTGGACTGGAAGAGGAGCAACCAGGACAGGATCCGGCGCCCCGACCGGGACTAGAACCCAGTGTGCTGGCTCCGCAGGCGGAGGATTAGCCTAGTGAGCCGCGGCGCCAGCCGCTCCACTTCTGATCCAGCCCTCTTCTAATGCACCTGAGAAAGCAGTGGAAGATGGCCCAAGTCCTTGGGCCCCTGCACACACCCATGTGGGAGACCTGGAAGAAGCTCCTGGCTCCTGGATTCGGCCTGGCCCAGCCTTTTGTGGCCATTTGAGGAGTGAACCAGAGGGTTGGATGATCTCTCTATCTCTCTCTCCATCTCTCTGTCACTCTGTCTTTGAAATAAGTAAGCAAATCTTTAATAATTAAAACAAGGGACAAGGGCACCCAAAGGCTCTGTTTGCACACTTGCTTTAAACAGGATTCATCCAGACAGGTTCCATGGCCCAGGGAGGCAGGGCACAGACACTGGAGTGTGGGGCGAGGTGACGTCACGGAGCCCACCCTGCAGCTGAGGCCTCGGCCACCGGTCCTCCTTCCTGGGGGCGTTTTGGAGAGTGTCTGAAACATGGGCTGAGTGTTTACACCAGAAATCGCCTTCATAAAAGCAGAAATTGGGGCCTTCTGGGGGTCACAGCAGAGGCTTACGTTGGGAAATCGCTGTGCGGCTTCCTATGATCATGTCAGGGCGAGGAACAGACACCCACACAGGGCCGATGCTCCGCGCGCTCCCGCATCTCCGGAAGAGCCCTGCGGTGCGTGGTTGCAGTTCCCCACGATGGGACATCTGGCTGGCGTGTGACTGATGTGTCACTTAGTGGTGAGTGTTTAATGCAGGCATTGGGGACAACAATCATCCGCGAGTGATTCCATGACTCACGTAGCATCCCACGGTCTTGACTGGCATGTGACTTCCATAGTTTCTTTATACATATTTGAAAATCAAGCATCTGAGAGAAATTGGCCAGTCATTAACCATTTTGCTGCTCATCCATTATCCCCATGTGGGGTCACATTGTTATTCGGTAATACGTGTTCTAAATGGAGCATCGGTGATCCATGAATCAATTCTTCCATCTGCTGGTTCACTCCCCAAATGGCTACAATAGCCAGGGCTGGGCCAGGCTGAGCCAGGAGCTTCATTCGAGTCTCCCATGTGGGTGGCAGGGGCCTACGGTCATCCTCTGCTGCCTTCCCAGGTGCATTAGCAGGGAGCTGGAACCAGCACCCTATGGGATACCGGTGTCGCAGGTGGTGACTGAACCCGCTGCACCGCAGCACCCAGCCCCGAAACTTGTCTTTTTTTTTTTTTATCTTTTATTTAATGAATATAAATTTCCAAAGTACGACTCATGGGTTACAATGGCTTCCCCCGAAACTTGTCTTTTGATTGCATCTCCCACATGTTTTCATGTTGGTGGTGTAGCACGGGGGGCTTTGAAGTGTGTGTACGCTGCGGGGTGGCTGCAATTGGGCTGAATCACAGACATGTTGCCTGAGCATTTCTGTTGGTGCTTCAACACCATCGGCCGGCCGCCTTAGAAGTCAAAGAGGAAGGCAGGAGGGTCCGGGCGAGCGAGGGGGCTGGGGAGGATGGACGCAGAGCCTGGACTACGGAGACGGAGAGGGTGAAGAGGCAACGTGAGAGGCAGATGTGAAGGAGCTGCAGGAGGAATGCGGGGGAGCCTTCTCTGGCCCCCAGCACAGCGGGATTCCAGCCCAGGGAGACCGCGGAGCGGTGAGGGACACACCTGCGCCATTGCGCCAGCCAGCGAGTTGGCGGTGTCTTCTCGGAGCAGAGCGGGAGCTGGTGTGCGGGAAGTCACTAATCCACGCTAACCTGACTACAACAAGCCCGAGGTTTCGATCTTCCTTCCAAGTGACGAACCTGCACGTGGCAAATGTTCCATAATTATCTGTTGACACTGCGGCATAAAAAAGAGTTAAACCACACCAGCAGAGCCTGGGGGCCAGGATGGGCGCCCCCATCTCAGCGTGTGAAAAGTCTGCAGGGAGCCTGTGCCCGCCCCAGGCACAGCCTGAGCCCTGGGGGAATGTGGGCCAGGCTCCTGGGGGGAGCGGTTCCCCTTCCTGTGGCGCGGTTGATGGAACAACCTCGTGACTGGGAGGGGCCAGTCTCCGAGCGTCCACACCCGGTGTGTGTCCGTCCTGCTGGGCACAGTGTCGGGGCCAGTGGAGGAGACATCATGACCCCCACCCTCGTGGTCCTGCTCTGCCTGGGTAAGACTGGAAGACGGGGAGGGGAGACCCTGCTCTGGGAGGGACCCCGCCCCCGCCCACAGCCAGGCCCTGCTCCCTGGAGACCCCAGGCTCAGGAGCCCCGGGGAGGAGAGGATGTGCGCAGGGGCAGGGGCAACCCTCTCACGGGGAGCTCTCCTCCAGGGCTGTGCGGGCCCAGGACCCGAGTGCAGGCAGGTGAGCGTGCCCCCACTGTGCTGGGTCCCCCCCCCCATGGGACAAGGGCCACCCTGGGCAGCTGGGATGGGGACAGCAGCCCTGTCTGGTGAGGAGGGCGTCTGGGCGGGTCCTGGCCTGCGAGGGGACGTGGTCCTGGGACCCAGCCTCTGGTTTCCTTCCAGGGACCCTCCCCAGACCCAGCCTCTGGGCTGAGCCAGGCTCTGTGATCACCCTGGGCAGGCCTGGAGCCCTGTGGTGTCAGGGGACCCTGGAGGCCCAGGAGTTCCATCTGTATAAAGAGGGAATCCCAGAGCCCTGGGACAGACAGATGCCACTGGAGCCCAGAAACAAGGCCAAGTTCTCCATCCCTCTCATGGCTGAGGTGTATGCGGGGCGCTACAGCTGTGTCTGCCTCAGCGCTGCTGGCTGGTCAGAGCCCAGTGCCACCCTGGAGCTGCGGGTGTCAGGTGAGGGTCACGCAGGGTCCCTGCCCCACAGGCTGTGCCCTCAGGGAGGGGTCTGCTCCCAGGGGTCCCCCTCTCATAGCGCAGCCCTGGGGGTACCGTGGGGGGTGAGCCCTGCTTCACATGACTGCTCCTCCTCTCCCAGGAGCCTACAGCAAGCCCAGCCTCTCGGCCCTGCCCAGCCCCGTGGTGACCTCAAGGGGACAATGTGACCCTCCAGTGCCGCTCCCAGCTGGGATTCCACAGGTTCATTCTGACAGAGGAGGGGGTGCCCTGGGCTGCCAGGACCCAGAGCTTGGAGCCACGCCCCAGTGCGCGGTCCCAGGCCCTGTTCCCTGTGGGCCCTGTGACTCCTGGTCGCAGGTGGGCGTTCCGATGCTATGGCTCCTACAGGGAGAATCCTTTTGTGTGGTCAGAGCCCAGTGACGCCCTGGAGCTGAGGGTGACAGGTGAGGGCCCTGACCTCTTCCTCCTGAGCTCAGCTGGTCCCTGGGACCCTGGCCCAGGAGAGTGCTGGGCGGGGCTGGGAGGGAGGGGCGCTGGGGGGTCATCCAGGAGGCTCATCTCCCAGAGGGGAGGCTCACCCACTGCCCCCAGGCCTCGACGCTGGGTCCAAGGTGAGGGAGGGCCCTGGGAGGCTGCGGGGCACACGCAGGAGAAGAGTTTGGGAGTGGGGGGCTCCAGGGGAAGCCCCAACCCTCACCTGTCTCCTGTCCTCAGTCTCAGGCTCCTGTGGGGGTCCCAGCCCCCCCCCACAAGCCCCATCTCAGCAGCAGGTGGGTCCTGGGGCCTCTGCCCAGAGGGTGTTGGTGTCCCCATGAGTGTCCTGAGAGGGTCCTTGCTGACCTACTACTTCCTGTCTCAGTTCAGCTGTGACCAGGGCCCAGGGTCTGGCAGTGCCGCTGGTGGGGTCCTGGGGCTGAGCTGAACGAGGGTGGGCCTGGGGCAGAGGGGGTGCTGGGCCCAGCCTGGGAGAGGAGCCAGCAGGCCGTGTAGGGAGCATGGCAGCCCCAGCCCTCACCGCCTGTCCCTGTCCCCACCCCAGGAGGCCCTGAGGGTCAGCCGCTCACCCCCAAGGAGCCCGCCCCACCGAGTGGTGAGTGAGGGGCTGGGCTGGGAGGGGTCCAGGGGAGGCAGGGGCTGGGGTCTGCCCTGGGTTGAGCTCTGGAGATGGTGACGTAGACAAGCCCCTCCCTGTCTGGGCTGCATTTCTGGGTGCACAGGAAAGAGGGAGGGGCTTGCCCAAACCTGGAGGTCCATGTAGTGCTGACCTCAGCTGTGACCTCCTGGGAGAGGCAACCTCCCCGGGAAGCCTCCAGGTCCCAGTCTGTGGCAGTGCCACGGTGGGGCAGGGACAGGGCCATGGTCCAGGTCCCTCAGGCTCCTCCCCTCCAGCTCAGGGGCATCGCAGAGAGCAAGGCTGCAAGTCGGCCTCCCAGGGGCAGCGCAAGCGGTCACTTCCTGCGGGTGACCTGGGGCAGGAGATGCGCCCCCTGTGGGCCTCAGTTGCTTCCTCTGTGAAATGGGGAGGGGCGAGGGTGATCGCATGTTGCAGAGCGTGCGGGGCTGGGGCTGACATGCACAGGCCGAGCTCATGCCCGGTGCACAGTAGGTGTGCAGTGACCCTGCCCTCCTCCACGACGTCACTCACGCCCAAGGTCCCCAAAGCTCTGTGGCCATTCTGATCGGAGTCTCTGTGGCCTGCCTCCTGCTATTCTGCCTCTTCCTCCTCCTCCTCCTGCGACACCGGCGTCAGGACAAGCGCAGGAAGTCGGGTGAGCAGGGCGTGCGGTGACCTGGGCTCAGGGGGTGGGGGTTCCCTGTGGGACGGCCCAGGGTGGGCTCAGGGCTGCAGCCACAGGGAAACCGGACCCCCGAGCAGGGCCCAGCGTGCACAGCCCAGCGCCAGCATCAGCAGCGGCGTGGAGTCCGGCTCCCACTGTCCTCCGTGCAGTCCCCTGAGCATCCGTGTGCGTGAGGGGTGTGACGGTCCCTTCTCTGGGGGCCTGGGCAGGGGCCGACGCTGACCCTCCCGGGGCTGAGCCCCTGTCTGTCTCACCCAGACCACAGGGAGGCTGGTGCTCAGCGTCCTGCGCCCGAGCCCAAGGCTGGAGGCCTGCCCAGGAGGTGAGTCCTGGCCCAGGACCCCGGCCTGTCCCCCACACCGCCCCCCCCAACCCCTAACGCACCTGTGTCCTCCCCAGCTCCGGCCCAGCTGCTGCCACCCAGGAAGAAAACCTCTGTGAGAGGGAGGGGCCGCCTGGGGGGGCGGGGCCAGGGTTTCAGGCCAGCTGGGGAGGGGACAGCATGGGCAGCGTCCTGGGCTCAGGGTGAACCTGACACTGCCCGGGGACATCCCCGCTCCCTGGAGCCCAGTGTCCCCGTGTGCAGCAGTCAGGGGAGAGCTGCGAGCTCCCAGCGCCTGGACAGGAAATGACCGCTTGCTTTGCCCCTGCAGATGCCACCGTGAAGGGCAGCCAACCTGGGCGCGGGCTGGAGCTGGTCAGCAGCCAGGTGAGGCCCTGTGTGCAGGCCTCCAAGGAGCCTCCGGCCCAGTTTAGTGCAGGAGCCTCTGTCCCTGTGCACAGCTCGCTAGGGTGTCCACAGTGAGCCCCCCCGCTCCGGGCTCGCTGGCCCCTCATGCTGGGACTCTGGCCCTCCCTCCCGGCCCCTGGTCCCCTGTCTGAGGGCCCAGGCCTAGGAGGAGGCGTGAATTAATGCACCCTGGGCCCGCAGCCCCCGGCATTCATTCATTCCTGGGACTGGGGGCTCCTCTTGATGAGGCTCCATGTTGGAGCTGCGGGCACAGCTGTGAGCAAAGCCTCGAAGCTCCCTGGGCTCACCCGTGGGTGAGATTGTGTGCACACCGCGCACCACACCCCGCGCCGGCGCTGCAGAGGGAAGTAACCCCGGGAAGGGGAGGGGTGTGGGGGCAGCGAGGGCCACACTCAGAGACGGAGGAGCCCCCGCAGGTGGGGGACACAGCCTGTGCAAAGGCCCTGAGCCGGAGCTGGCTCTCTGAGGAGGCGGGGCTGTGTGTCTGCAGCCAGGCGGGCAGAGGTCGGTGTCAGGCTGCGCTCAGAGCTGCAGGGGGGCAGCGTCCGACCCTCAGAGGACTTCAGAATCCTCCGAAGACCCCACCAAGAGGGTCACACATGGGGTCGACATTTTAAGGCGGCCACTCTGGCCACAGCTGTAAAATTGACTGAAGGGTCCAGAGTGGAATCAGGGAGCTCCCCTCTGCTGTCTCTTCCCAGCAGAGCCTACAGGGTGAAGCCCCCCAGGGAGTGACATATGCCCAAGTGAACCCCCGCAGACTCCAGAGGGGAGGAGACCTCTCCCTTTCCCACCTGCACAGGGGATTGCCAGGGGGGAAGGACAGGCCAGCAGAAGAGGACGGGCAGGTGCACCATCACCTGGGTCCTGGCCCCCCCAGCGCCCTGCCCCCAGCTGTGTAGCTTCCCTCTCACTCTCTGCTCACCAGGCTGCAGCCCCCGAGGCGCCCCTGAACGTGATCTACGCCCAGCTGTGCAGCCTGACGCCCACACAGTAGGCAGCTGCCAAGTTTCCTGCCGGTCAGAGCCCTGCCTGAGCCCAGTGAGTTCACTGCTCTGGACCCCTGCCAGGAGGGACCCCGGCCCCTCACTGCACGGAGGGCACAGGAGCTGCCCCAGGGGACACCGAGTTAGGACGCTGGCCAGCCTGGACCCGTTGTGGAGAGCAGCAGGAGAGATGGGGAACCCTGGGACACACGTGATTCTGTGGCCACAGACAACTCATGTCTCTGTTTTGGAAATAAAGCAAGAGGTTTCTCAACCATCAGTGAGAAATCTGAGAAAACAGAAGTGAGACCATGTTTTTTAAAGATTGATTTATTTATTTGAAAGTCAGAGTTACACACAGAGAGAAGGAGAGGCAGAGAGAGAGAGAGAGAGAGAGAGAGAGAGAGAGAAAGAGAGAGGTCTTCCATCTGCTGGTTCACTCCCCAGTTGGTTGCAGCGGCCGGAGCTGTGTCAATCCAAAGCCAGGAGCCAGGAGCTTCTTCCTTGGTCTCCCACACAGGTACAGGGGCCCAAGGACTTGGGCCATCTTCTACTGCCTTCCCAGGCCACAGCAGAGAGCTGGATGGTAAGTGGAGCAGGCTGGCGCCGCGGCTCACTAGGCTAATCCTCCGCCTTGCGGCGCCGGCACACTGGGTTCTAGTCCTGGTCGGGGCGCCGGATTCTGTCCCGGTTGCCCCTCTTCCAGGCCAGCTCTCTGCTGTGGCCTGGGAGCGCAGTGGAGGATGGCCCAAGTGCTTGGGCCCTACACCCCATGGGAGACCAGGAGAAGCACCTGGCTCCTGCTTTCAGATCAGCGCGGTGCACCGGCCACAGTGCGCCGGCTATTGGAGGGTGAACCAACGGCAAAGGAAGACCTTTCTCTGTCTCTCTCTCTCACTGTCCACTCTGCCTGTAAAAAAAAAAAAAAAAAAAAAAAAAAAGTGGAGCAGCATACACTCGTTCATCCTCTATGTATCCTCTTATGAGAAGTAGCTACAGATGTCATGCATCCATTTTTGAATCAGGTTATCTCTGTGTTTGCTGTTTCAATTCTTCATTCACTCTGAAAATGAATCCCTTGTCGGATGAATAATTTGAAACTAAGTTCTCCCACTCTTCAGGTTGTCTCTGCTCTGCTGATTGCTTCCCTGATGGACAGACAACTCCCAATTACCAGCATTCACATTTTTGCTTGTGTTTTTAAGGTGTATCCAAAAAATAATCTTTTCCTAAATGATCAGAAGTGCTTCCCTTAAATTTCTTCATTTAGTTTCAGAGTTTGCGTCTTCTATTCATGTGTCATGGATGTTGAGTTGATTTTTGCACACACAATGAGACAGGGCTGTCATTCCGTCTTCTGCAGATGGAAACAGTTTTCAAAGCACACCGCAGGTCCTCTCCTTCCCCAGTGTGCGTTCCCGATGCCCTTGTAGAAATCAGTAGACTGTAACAGTGACCGTCCGTCTGCGTTCTCTCTGCTGTCCCAGTGTCCCCGTGTGTTTGTATTTGTTGCCATGCTGTGTGGACACCACAGCTGTGTCGTGTGTCTTGAATCAGACTGTGAGACACCTCGGCTTGGGGCTTTGGTCGCAGGGTGGTTTTAATATTTGGGGTTTAATATTTAATATTTGTGGTTCCATGTAAATCATGAGTTTTGTTTTCTATCTGTGAAGAACGTCACAGATATTCTGACAGATATCCAGGCAGTACTGAAAGTCCTAACAGTGCTGATCTCCCAGCCCTGACCACGGCGATCTCCCATTACTTCCTGTCCAGTTCAGTTGCCTTCCTCAGGGACTCTGTTTGCAGGCGTCGCTCTCTCATTTCCGGAAGGAATTCACTCCAGGCTGCTGGAGGTCTGGGCTCTGCTAAGTGGAGCTGTGTGGATCTCCCTTGGAGCGCTGACGGGAGTTCGTGTGTGGACCCGATCCTGCGACCTGACGGTGACCAGTGAGGGCAGCTTCTGGTTGAGACGTTGGGTTGCCTTTAGGTCAGATGACGTCATCAGCAAAGAGAGGTAGTCTTAGGTAAGATGGCGTCATCAGCCAAGAGAAACGACATGGCTTCTTCCTTCCCAATTCGGACGCTTCTGTGGCTTCTTCTCGCCCACCTGCTCTGGCGAGGACTTGCAGGGCCGCGCATGCAGCAGTCAGGGCTCACGTTCCCTACAAGGACCCGCACTCTTCCTCCACGGAGACAGCGGCTACCACGCGCGCAGCCCCTCAGTGGGCATCTGCGAGTCACGTGTCGTTCTGCGCCTGCGCAGTCCTGTGTGTTCATCGTTGTGCGGTAGCGCGAGGCCGCCTCAGGTGAGTCCGTGTCCGCCCACACGGGGAAGCTGAGGCTCAGGGCAGAGGGGTGTGTGAGGGGACGCAGTGAGGGCGCCTCCCCCGGGAGTCAGGGCAGGCGGCAGGGAGGGGGCGGCGCAGGTCCTGGGAGGCCTCAGGGCCCCGCAGCGGGGTGGTCGGGTCAGGGGAAGCTGTGGCTGAGGGGCGTGGGAGCGGCGTCCGCGGCGGAGGGGGCGTCCGGGCCTCCCCCGCCCTGGGTCGGGCCCCGGGACCTCCGGGCCGGGCGGGAGCGGGGCTGTGCCCACCTGCGTCCTCCGGAAGTGGCCGGGCTGCGACCCCACAGGAGGGGCTGAGGGCGGGGACGACCCCACCCCGGGGCGCATCAGCCCACCTGAGGGGCGGCTCCGGGAGGCCCGTGTCCTTGGTGCTGGGTCGGGCCCCGGGACCTCCGGGCCGGACTGAGGTGCCTGCAGGGGACTGCCCCCACGGCTGCTCCTGGACCCACCCCCAACACGGCAGACACCGGGGCCCCACGGACACTCCCACCCTTGTGCAGTGCAGAAGTGCTGGGGCCATGGGTGCTGGGAACCCCCGGCCCCACACAGAGAGGGATCAGTGCAGGAGCCCAGGGAGGAGGAGCCTGGACTGTGGGCGGGGCTCTCATGGCCCAGCCTCCCACAGCCTGAGCTGGCAGGTGCTGCTCCTCTGGCGACAGACACCTGCCCCTGCTGCCCTGATACCAGTCCCCTCCCTCACCGAGAAACCCGGCACAGGGTGTGCGGCACGGGACCCGGCTGGCCCGCGGTGCCCCCATGCTCTCAGTTCCCGGGGGAGCTCGGGCCTCTGCCCCCAGACACCCTCCCTCCCTCACAAGTGCTCGCCAGGCCTCGGGCCCGCCAGCCCCCAGCAGGACCCCACCCAGGCCCGTGTCCCCTGTTGTGGGCCCTCCTGCACCTGCCACAGCCACAGCTGGGCTGCAGCTCAGCCACACCTCTGTAGGGTCTGCCTTCTTCATCTGCTCTCATCAGCTCCGAGAGGCCTGGAAGATTCCGTCACCCTCCCCACGGGATCCAGCCCTCCCCACTCCCCTCCCCCCGCCCCAGCCCCCACACCTGCACTCAACCACTCAGGAAAGGGAAGTGCGTGTCTCGGCCACCTGGCCTGTGCAGGCAGAACCAGAACCCTAACTGGACAGAAAGTGGACTCCTGGAGGGGTGGGGCTGGAGTGGGGGAGGGAGGCCGGGCAGGCACAGTACAGGGGGCAGCAGAGGCGGAGGCCTGGTCCTAGCTGTCCCTAGTGTCCGCTGTTTCCTGGGCCCCGTCCTCAGGGACAGCGGGGGAGGTCGGGGAGGGGCTGCCCCCTCCCTGTGAGGCCGCAGATGAGGAACTCGTGACGTCTCCCCGCTCATCTCCAGCCGGGCTCTGGGCCTGCGCCCCTCACAGCTGCTCTGCTCCACGAGACGTGAGACGATGGGTGGCGGGGCCCAGACCCCAGCCCTCACTGCCCTCCTCTGCCTGGGTGAGCCAGGGACACGGGGACAATGGGACCCCTCACAGGTGCGGGGGGGACAGTGCCCTGGGCCAGCTGGGACCCCAGGGCTCAGAGGACCAGGGCAGGCCTGGGCGTCTCGGCAGGGGTGGGGAGTGGGGAGCAGCTCTCACGGGGACCTCTCTTCCAGGGCTTTGCCGGGCGCCATGGGATAAGGCACAGGCGGGTGAGTCCTCCCCTGACCTGGCTCAGCCCCTGGGGCCCAGGCAGCTAGGGGTTAAGGAACCCAGGGTGGCTGGGCTGATGGTGATGGCTGGGAGGGGCTGGGAGTGGAGCTGGGGAATGGGGTGGGAGAGGGGCAGCACCCTGGGGTCTGCAACTTTGATTCCTTTCCAGGGACCCTCCCCAAGCCCTCCATCTGGGCCGACTCAGGCCCCCTGGTCGCCGTGGGGAGTCCTGTGACCCTCTGGTGCCAGGGGTCTCCGCAAGCTGAGGTCTATCGTATGTATAAAGAGGGCGGCCTCCAGCCCTGGGTAGTGCAAGCCCAGCAGGACTCCAGACACAAGGCTAGCTTTTCCATCATCCAGTCCATGAGCTCCTACGACTCAGGGCAGTACTGGTGTGTGTATCTGACCTCGCTCGGCCCCTCCCAGCCCAGTGACCCCCTGACCCTGGTGGTGACAGGTAAGAGGTGTCCCCTGCCTAGAGTGGCTCCAGGTCACAGAAGGAAGCCAAGTGGGGTGCACGGGGCAGCAGCCCCCCAACACGGCTCTGCCCTCCCCTGCAGGGATGTTCCCGGGGCCCTCCCTGTCAGCCCAGCCAAGCCCCGTGGTGGCGTCAGGAGGGAACGTGTCCCTCTCCTGTGGCTCACATAGGGTGGGCACTGCCCATCTGCTGAAGGAGGGTGGAGCCGGCCCCCTGCACAGCCCGGAAGCCAGGTTCTCCCAAGTTGCTGGGGTGTGGCAGGCCACCTTCCTCCTGGGCCCCGTGGACAGCACCCACGGGGGCATCTACAGGTGCTACCGCGCTGATACTGTGGAGCACCATGTGTGGTCCCTGCCCAGCGACCCCCTGCAGCTCCATGTTACAGGTGAGGGGCCCAGTGCCCAGGGAGCCTGGGTGGTTTGGGGATTCAGGAACTCTGACCCCGTGGGGGCGGTGAAAGGCTGCAGACCCTGCCCTCCTCGCCCCACCCCCTCTCAGGGCTGCACAGGGAGCCCTCCCTCTCGGCCCTGCCGGCCTCACTGCTGCTCCTGGGACAGAGCCTGACCCTGCGGTGTCGCTGTGAGCCCAGCTGTGACAGATACGCGCTGACCAGGCCCGAGGGGGACACGTCCCCCCAGCACCTTGCCGGGCAGCCCAGCCCGGACTTCCTCCTGGGCCCCGTGAGCGGCTCCCACGGGGGCCGGTACAGGTGCTACGGTGGACGCCAGGGCCCCTACGCATGGTCGGCCCCCAGCAACCCCCTGGACGTGCTGGTTGCAGGTGGGGAGCCCCTGCCTGCCCCATCCTGTCTGTCCCAGGCTAGACCCGGGGTTTTGCCATGGGGGTGTGGGGTCCTTAGAGTCCTGGGCCAGAGGCCAAGTGGAGTCCTGTTCCTGGGAGGGGAGTGGAGCCAGCAGGGACAGGGACCCCAGGAGACCCACACTGTGCTGAGGGGAGGGAGGGGCTGCTCCCTCCACACTCCGTCCTCTCTCCCAGGAATGTACAGGAACCCCTCCCTGCAGGCCCAGCCGGGGCCCTCGGTGCCCAGGGGAGCAATGGTGGCCCTGCGCTGTGGCTCTGAGGAGGCGATGGACACCTTTCTCCTGCACAAAGTGGGCTCAGGCGCCCCTCCCCAGCGCCTGCGTGTCCTGGGCTCGGCCACAGCTGCTCAGGCCACCTTCATGCTGGGTCCTGTGACCTCGGCCCACGGGGGCACCTACAGGTGCTACGGCGCCCACAGCACTGAACCCTACCTGTTGTCCCAGCCCAGCGACCCCCTGCAGCTCGAGGTGTCAGGTGAGGGCCCCAGCCCTGTCCCCACGGTGGTCCTGGTCAGTGCAGGGCTGTCCCCAGGAGAGGGCTGGGCTGGGGAGGAGCCCCAGGGGAGGTCACCAGGGAGCAGGGAGCAGCAGAGGTCTCCAGCTCCGGGGCCCAGGTCACCCTCTGTGGTATGGGGTTTGGGTGGGCAGTGGAGTGGATGGATCAGGGGCCCTAGAGTTGAGATGGGAACTGGGCTGGGTGCACAGGCCTCTCATGGAGCCCACAAGGGCGAGGGGACTCCCTAGACACAAAGGTGTGTAGCCCTGGGTCAGCTGGCCCCTGGCGGGGACTCCTCCGGGTCCAGGTCCCTGGGGAGAGGGGAGGGGTGCCCGTGTGGGCTGTGAGGTGGTGGCGGCTCAGGGGGTGAATGCAGAGACCCAGCGCATGCCTGGGGCACAGCAGTGCTCAGTGCACGGTGCTGTTTCCCACTCACAAGGGCACCTGGACGCAGGGGCGCCCTCCCTGCCCTGCGCCTCAGGTCAGAACTGGCAGAGCCAGGCCCAGTTCTGCCCATACTGCGCCCTCATCCGGGGAGGGGTGGGGACCTGCAGGTGCAATGGCTCCCAAGCCCCGCCCCCTGTGACAACCCTCAGGGAGGTCTGGGCCCCTTATTCTCCTGAAGAGCAGCTCAGTGGAGGAGCAGCAGTGGAGCGTTTGTTCCTGTGGGGACTCCTTCCCCCGACCCTGGTTGGGCTCTGACTTCCTGACAAAGTTCCCATCAGCCCAGAGGGAAGGGACATCTCACTTCCTGGCTTCCCGATCCCTGGGCAGCCTGGCCTGTTTCAGTATGCGCACGTCTGTAGCTGCGTCCCTGCACAGTGCCCACTGTGATGTGTGCTGTCTGTGTCCATGTTCACTGTGAGTTGTGTCCCTGAGCTTGTAACTACCGATAGTCACCGAGGTCTACACTGTGACCTGGTTGTTCCAGGTCTTCTCACTTAGGAATACTGATTGTGGAACACAGTGGAGCACCACCGCTTAGGAAACACGTGTGTGTGTGCGTGTGTGTGTGTGTGTGTGTGTGTGTCCCATGGTGGCTGTGTCAAGATAATGAAGACTTAGTTGACCACAGATAAACAGGGTGGAGCAGCAGGTGCACAGGCTGAGGTGTGGGGGAGAGGAGGCTGCCCTGGACGTTGCCCCTCTGTGTCTCTGACACTCAGGAGGCCCTGATGGCCCCCGCCAGCTGTGGGCCCGGGTCCTCAGTGCTGAGTGCATGGGGAGGGTGGGGTCTCCTCCTCCTCACCGTCCCGTCCCTGTTCTCAGGAGGACCGGAGCCCAGCAGCCCCTCGCGCCCGCAGCCAGGCTCCCCGACTGGTGAGTGAGCTACAGGCCTGACCCAGGGCTCAGGCTGCTGCGGGGAGGTGGACTCCGGTGAGCCAGCCTAGGTGACCCCTCCGTATACACCCCCAGCCTCAGCGCCCGAGGACCACACCCTGGAGAACCTCATCCGCATAGGCGTGGCGGGCTTGGTCCTGCTGGGCATTGGGCTTCTGCTGGCAGATGCTTGGTACAGCCACAAGAGGACCCGGGCTGCAGGCCAGCAGTGACCTGGAGAGAGGACAGCCTGGGTCAGAGGCCGCTCCCTGGGGGCGGGGAGGGGGTAGTCGGGTGCACAGTGGGGAACTGTCCCCCCTAGTGTGGGTGCTGGGAGCTGTCTGGGGGCGTCAGGAGCTCTTTATTCAGCTGTGGACTTCTGCCCTGTGGCTGTGCCCTGTCCCGCCTGGCTCTCCAGTGGGACAGCGCCACCTGCAAGCCGCATGTGGACCCGCACCCGCCTCCGCCTTGCCCCGCCCTCATGGAGCCTTTTACTCTGTTTCTGGTGAATGCAGTTCCCAGTGCGCATGCGTGAGAATCCGCGTTTCCAGCCAAGAACACGAAGCTTGCGCCAAGTAACAGAATAAACGAGCGAAATCGGATTTCAGGGTGGGCGAGGTCCATCCCACACGGGACGCTCACGGCCTCTCAGGCCCCGAGTCCTTCCCTGGGCTTGGGACGCCTTGCGTGTGGGGGCTCAGAAGGGTCACACGGGAACTGGTGCCCGGGAGACTGACGGGCGGGTGTCTGGGCACTGCTTAGCGGCCGCTCTGAAACAAGCATGCTTTCTGTGGGGGTGCCGCTAGCCGTCATACGGCCACCCTCCAGGAGCCCCTGTGAGGTCTGTGATGCGGGCTGGGAAGAGACGCCCCCAGCTGCCTTCCGGGTGCCGGGGGCTCCTCCGTCAGGGCCCCGCTGTGCACCTCGGGTTCCTGCCGCGTGAAGGCAGTGCTACTTCCTAGTCAGGGTGACGGCACCAAGTACAAGGAGTCCTCCCCTGATTCTATGGATAAAGTCGGCTGCGTCGGCCCCACCTGCACCAGGTGTGTCTGCTCCCAACCGTCCTGGGGCACGTGGCACACTGCCCTCGGTCTCTGCACAGAGCTCAGTCGGGCTCGGTGCTAAGGGGCTAACAGAGAAGCACGTGGATAAGGGGAGGCAGCGTGAGGTGGGCGCCTCCCCTGGGTCGGGGTCCAGCTGAGAACAGAGGGCTTCAAGACGCAGCGACCCTGTTCAGGGCTGGCGGCTTGAATGACTCAATCCAGGCTGCTTGCTTGCCTCCTGGCCTCTCGCAGCCCGGGCTGAATCCTGCTCCTGGAACTGTGCCGTCCCCACGCCCCACCCTCTGTCCTGTCCCAAAGCGCGAATCACACTTGTGCAGGCCCTGTGTTAGTGGTTCTGACTGTGCCAGGACTGGGCGCTCCCCCCGTGCAGAGTAGAAAGCTCAGAGTCTGGACTGAGATGTCCCCAGCTTCCAGCCCAGGCTTGCGTGGTCTCAGCTGTGGTACTGAGTGGCGAGGGTTCTCCAAGCGCCAGCCCCGCCCTCTGAGAGTGCAGAGCAGAGTCGGGCATGGGGAGGGATTCCCGGGGAAGCAGAACTCCAAACTCCATGGAGGCCAAGCAGTGCCTTAGGGACGAGGAGGGACTGGGAGCAGCTTAGTGAGTGTGGGCATTTGGGGGGATGACCATGGAGCTAGAAGAGTTCATGTGGGGCCGGCACTGTGGCAGTGCAGGTTCAATCCCAGCCTGCAGGGCTGCCATCCCATAGGGGCCAGGGTTGGAGTCCCAGCTGCTCCACATCCGCTCCCGCTCCCTGCTAATGCACCTGGGAGAGCAGCAGAAGGTGGTCCAAGTCCCTGGTCCCTGCACCCGCAGGGGGGATGGGGAGAAGATCCTGGTTCCTGGCCCCAGATAGCCCTGGCTCTGCACTTTGTGGCCACTTGGGGAGTGAACCAGCAGATGGAAGACCTCTCTCTATCTCTCTCTCTCTCTCTCTCCCCCCTCTCCCCCTCCCTCCCTCTCTGTAACTCTTTCAAGTAAGTAAATATTCTTTTAATAAAGAAGAGTTAATGTCAACATTGTTAATGTACTAAGGGTCATCAGGAAATAACTGAAGTGTGGCCAGGGCTGTGGCTGGTGGAAGGAGCCTGGGCGAGGATGCTTCCAGCCCCTGGGTGGGGGAGAGGGTCAGTTCCTCTTCCTGTGGGGCTGCTGATGGCACAACCCCATGACCGCGAGGACCCAGCCTCCCAGCGCCACCCCCTGTATGTGTCCGTCCTGCCAGGCTCTGTGCTGGGGCCGGTGAAGAGATGGCATGACCCCCACCCTCATGGTCCTGCTCTGCCTGGGGAGACTGGAAGACGGGGAAGGGAGATCCTGGTCTGGGAGGGACCCCGCCCCCACAAACGCCCACTGCCAGGCCCTGCTCCCTGGAGACCCCAGGCTCAGGAGCCCCGGGGAGGAGAGGACATGCGCAAGGGCAGGGGCAACCCTCTCACGGGGAGCTCTCCTCCAGGGCTGTGTGGGCCCCAGGACCCGAGTGCAGGCAGGTGAGCGTGCCCCCACTGTGCTGGGTCCCCCCCCGACCATGGAACAAGGGCCACCCGGGCAGCTGGGGTGGGGACAGCAGCCCTGTCTGATGAGGAGGGTGTCTGGGAGGATCCTGGCCTGCGAGGGGACGTGGTCCTGGGACCCAGCCTCTGGTTTCCTTCCAGGGACCCTCCCTGGACCCAGCCTCCGGGCTGAGCCAGGCTCTGTGATCGCCCTGGGGAGGCCTGGGGCCCTGTGGTGTTGGGGTCCCTGGAGTCCCAGAAGGGGCTCTGGGGGGTCATCTAGGAGGCTCATCCCTGGAGGGCAGGCCCACCCACCACCCCCCAGCCCTCAACACTGGGTCCAGGGTGAGAGAGATTCCTAGGAGGCTGCGGGCCACATGCAAGAGAAGAGTTTGGGAGTGGAGGGCTACAGGGGAAGCCCCCACCCTCACCTGTCTCCTGTCCTCAGTCTCAGGTTCCTGTGGGGGTTCCAGCCCCTCACCTACAAGTCCCATCTCAGCAGCAAGTAGGTCCCGGGGGCCTCTGCCCAGAGGGTGTTGGTGTCCCCATGAGTGTCCTGAGAGGGTCCTCGCTGACTTACTGCTTCCTGTCTCAGCTCGGCTGTGACCGGGGGAGGCAGTGTCCAGACCCTCAGAGGATTTCAGAATCCTCCGAAGACCCCACCAAGAGGGTCACACATTTTAAGGTGGTCATTCGTGCCACAGCTGTAAAATTGACTGAAGGGTCCAGAGTGGAATCAGGGAGCTCCCCCCTGCTGTCTCTTCCCAGCAGAGCCTACAGGGTGAAGCCCCCCAGGGAGTGACATATGCCCAGGTGAACCCCCGCAGACTCCAGAGGGGAGGAGACCTCTCCCTTTCCCACCTGCACAGGGGATTGCCAGGGGGGAAGGACAGGCCAGCAGAAGAGGACGGGCAGGTGCACCATCACCTGGGTCCTGGCCCCCCAACACCCTGCCCCCAGCTGTGTAGCTTCCCTCTCACTCTCTGCTCACCAGGCTTCAGCCCCCAAGGCACCCCTGAATGTAACCTATGCCCAGCTGTGTACTCTGCCACCCACACAGTAGGCAGCTGCCAAGCTTCCTTCTGGTCAGAGCCCTGCCTGAGCCCAACAAGTTCACTGCCCTGGATCCCTGCCAGGAAGGACCCCGATCCCTCACTGCATGGATGGTACAGGAGTTGCCCCTGGGGACCCCTCCTGTACACAAGCAGGAGAGATTCTGGGAACCCTGGGACACACGTGATTCTGTGGCCACAGATAACTCATATCTCTGTTTTGTTTTAGAAATAAAGCAAGAGGTTTCTCAACCATCAGTGAGAAATCTGAGAAAACAGAAGTGACATCATGTTTGTTTTTTTTTTAAGATTATTTATTTGAAAATCAGTGTTACACAGAGAGAAAAGGAGAGACAGGGAGGGAGGGAGAGAGAGAGAGGGAGAGAGAGAGAGAAAGAGAATGGTCTTCCACCTATTGGTTCACTCCACAATAGGCTGCAATGGCCAGTGCTGATCTGATCTAAAGACAGGAGCCAGGAGCTTCTTTCAGGTCTCCCATGAGGGTGCAGGAACTCAAGGACTTGGGCCACCCTCTACTGCTTTTCCAGGCCACAGCAGAGAACTGGATTGGAAGTGGAGCAGTCAGGACTCAAACTGGTGCCCATATGGGATGCCGGCACTTCAGGCAGTGGCTTCACCTGCTACGCCGCAGCACCAGCCCCAGACCATGTTTTCAGGTGAGTGAGGATGTTAGCATTACATGTGAAACTGTGAAGCTGGGTATTCAAGAATTACCAATGGATACATTAGAAAAGAAAAAAGACCAAAAAATTCAATGAACATAGGGTCAGAACAAGAATTCTTCAAAAGAATACTAAGTTATTCCCCATGAGAGTACATAGAAGGAAATATTATGATAGTGGCAGCTACCTGTGAGGACAAGCAGAACACGACAGAGGAGAAGGTTAACTCTGGGCAGCACAAATGGCAATCGCTAGCCCCAACCACCAGGACCAGCAAAGAAACCCAGTTGAACCCACTTCCATGGTGAGGGAAGCAGGAGGCAGCACTACAGATCCTACACACGCTTTCAGAACAAATAACACAGCACAAAACAGCACAGTGATTTCAAGCCCATATGTTGAGAACTCTGCAGCCTTACAGTGTGTGGCATTCATCTTGTGTGCATTAAATCGATCCATGTGTTCTGTAATGGTGGGGATCGGCTCTAGGAACCCTGTGCCGGGTGAGTCTGGTCATGGGACATCAAGGAGTCCCAGCACACACCTGCAGAATGGCACCTACTTCACTCTGGGCTCTGAACTCTGCCGTTCACTCCTGGGCTGGGAACGGCAGAGCTCGCTGCTGTATTCCTATGAGAATATCCACCGGGGGCCGGGCGTCCTCCTGCAGTGGTGCAGACCTGCGTATCTAGGACTCTGCCCACAGAAGCCGTGCAGCAACAGTACGATGAGGTCGGCAGCTGTCAGCTTCATTAGAATGTTGGGGGTGCCAGCATACAGGCGACTGTGGCTGACCAAAACGTGCCTGAGACACCTGACAATGCCATGACTCAGGAATCCAACATTCTCCCTCAGTGAAAACACCAGCCTACAAAGTTTTGTGGGAATCCCTCCCACATATTCATGCAGTTAGAAAACACACATACATATGCTGCCCACACATGCCCAAATTTACATACACTGTTCCCAAGGACAGGAAAAAGGAACGTTTTATCAGGCAAGGAGAAAGTGCTATCAAAACCAGAGGCGGAAACTGCTAGATGGGAAAATCCTGGGACGGATGCTCCCATAAACTTAGACTCCCAAGAAAATGCTCACAAAGAATACTCGTTCCTATACGGAGAGGGGAATGCAGGGGACATGAGCACACCGGTTGGTTGGTGGTGGTGAAGGCAGGCACCGGTCACTTGATACTAAAGAATTGATGGCGTTCAATACATTACCAGAAGTCACAGCTCATCAGACACAGACAAAGCTGTTTTTGTCTGAGAGATTCTGCATCCACCTGTCAGTCATCACATCTTCTCTCCGGAACGTCAATGCAAGTCCTTTGCCCACTGCCCCCATGCGCAGCCAGTTTCTTGGCATGAGTTGCTGAATTCCTTCTGTATTTTGAGGTGAACCCTTAACAGCTGTGTAACCTGCGAATATTTTCTCCACACTCTGGGTCTCCCTCTGCTTCTCCTGACTGTTCCTTTGCTGTGAAGCACGTTTTGATTGAAATTATTCCAATTTTTAAATCTATCATTTATTTCTATGAAGGCAGAGAGAGAGGGGGGAAGGAATCCTCCTTTTGTGACTCAGCCCCCCAAATGGCTGCAACAGCACATACTCAGCCAGGGGCCTGGCGCTCCATCCTGCTTCCCTCGCAGGTGCCAGGGCCCGAGTCTATGCTGTCTCCTGCTCCCTTCCCAGGCCCATCAGCGGGACGCTGGGTCTGAAGCGAGGCAGCCAGGCCGGAAGCCAGCACTCTGACTGGGATGCCAGCATCGCCAGCAGCTGCCCTGCATTGACCTCCTCCACCCGTGGGATTTTGCTTCTGTTGTCTGTGCTTCTGTGGCCACAGCCAACCAATCACTGCCCAGACGCTGTCACGGGGTTCCCCTCTGTTTTCTAAAAGGAGTTTCATTATCTCAGGTTTCACGCAGTTCTCTTTCACATAATTTAAAATGATTGTGGTAAGACCTAAAGATATTTAAGTGACACAATATTACTTATACGTGTAATGTTTTGACCCACGTCTGTATGCGGACCAGAGGGAGCGTATCTAAGTCCTCAAACATGTATTCATCCTTGGTGGCTAACAATAAAAATGCCATGACTTTTGCACACACGATGAGACAGGGCTGTCATTCCGTCTTCTGCAGATGGAAACAGTTTTCAAAGCACACCGCAGGTCCTCTCCTTCCCCAGTGTGCGTTCTCGATGCCCTTGTAGAAATCAGTAGACTGTAACACGTGACCGTCCGTCTGGGTTCTCTCTGCTGTCCCAGTGTCCCCGTGTGCTCGTGTTTGCTGCCATGCTGTGTGGACACCGCAGCTGTGTCGTGTGTCTTGAATCAGACTGTGAGACACCTCGGCTTGGGGCTTTAGTCTCAGGGTGGTTTCAATATTTGGGGCTTTTGTGGTTCCATGTAAATCATGAGTTTTGCTTCACTCCAGGCTGCTGGAGGTCTGGGCTCTGCTAAGTGGAGCTGTGTGGATTTCCCTTGGAGCACTGACGGGAGTTTGTGTGTGGACCGCGATCCTGTGACCTGACGGTGACCAGTGAGGGCAGTTTCTGGTTGAGACGTTGGGTTGTCTATAGGTACGATGACGTCATCAGCAAAAAGAGGTTATCTTAGGTAAGATGGCGTCATCAGGAAAGAGCCGACATGGCTTCTTCCTTCCCAATTCGGACGCTTCTGCGGCTTCTTCTCGCCCACCTGCTCTGGCGAGGACTTGCAGGGCCGCGCAGAGCAGCAGTCAGTTTCCTACAAGGACCCGCA